TTATGTGCACTCAAAGGTTACCTCACCGACGTTTACGCATTCGGAATTCATCTTATTGGGTTCGACGCAGTAGCTGTAAAATCCGCGACCTCCTTACAAACCCACTTACAAGTAGAACTCACTAACTATCCCGCCACCTCGGCGTGTAAGCAATTGAAGGAACAGTGGGGAGAAAATACAGCTTTCTTTATTTGAACTAACCTTCGGTAACTCAAATTAGAACCTTAAAGAAGTTTTCATTAAACAAGATACGGAATATGAGAAACACTTCACCGAATGCAACGCCAGAAGGACGTAATAGGATAAATATTAAAATAGAAGAGTTCGCTGTCTCACAAATATGTTAGCTTCTAAGTGCCTATACGAAACCGGATGCATTATTATCGAACTCCACAGCCTTTTCTTTTCTCATTCCGATGGAAGCAAGCTTCAAGAACTCGCGCGTTCTAGAAACGTGTTATGAAATGAGCACACAGCAGCATTTAGGATTTACGAGATTGTAGGAAAATAAAATCCCGTGACGCAATTTTTTTTTTTTTTTTTTTTGCACAGCCTTTCAATTCTTTTTCTTCCGTGCAAGTCGCGACCAGCACAATACTGGTTCCTATGTCAAGATTCATGGATGCAGCGTTTGTCAAGATTCATGGATGCAGCGTTTATATTCCTAAGACTGAGTGGAGAAGCAAAAATATGTAAGCGAGGTGTGTGTCAGTTGACGGCACTTAAAAAACAAATGGCATTGATAGCACATTCATTGTCAACAACGCGTGGCCGAACCGTTTTGACATGAGCCGGTAACCGTTATTTTTTTTCCGGGTCAGTTCCGGTTCGGGTTCATCGGGATAACAATATAACGGTTTGGGTTCAGTTCCGGAAAAAATACCGGTTCGGTTCGGTTCCGGTTCGACACCGTGGATTAAAGAAATAAAAATGCCGCCAGAATGAATTAAGAAGGTTGGGCAAGAGAAGACGCAGATAAACAGTGCTGTCCTTGTCCTTGTCTATTCTGTTCATTTTTAAAGCGAAGCTGTTTACGGCTGGGGTTCCGTGGATTTTTCGTGTGTGTCAACAAAAACTGGGGTCTCGAATTTGATGCAAAATCGAACTCATTCTATGCAAAAGATTATACGTCTCATCACTTGGATAAATGCATTTTCAGTAGATTAGTTATCAATGCAGTGGGTTATCAATGCAGTGGATTAGTTATCAATGCAGGGAGGAGCGGTAGGCATTCAGCTGGTGGAGTGGGGTGGGGGGCAGCCTGCTGAGATATGACGTACGGTTGAAACGTTGCCCAGATCTATTTTGTTGACCCAACATTTGCTATGTCACCAAGATCGAAACTTGTGGCTGGTGTATATCAATGATCTTATTATAACAAAGTTGACCTTGGGGAGCTTAAAGGGCAAAGGGGCGGGGTGGGTTGCCCCGTTCCCCCCCCCTCTCTTCTTAAATCTGCTCCTGTATAAGATTCAATGTTGTGAGAAAGTCGTCTGCTTCTAGCGCAGGAGTTGCGGGGACGTCGGAACGACCCCGAGCTCTGATTTGCTTTGATTGAAAGAATGTAGACCTCAATGGTAGATTCCTTGAGGTCTACGTCCACTATTTTTTTTGCAACCCCTGCAAAAGAAGCGAACTTGCCCTCCGTACCGCATAGGCACCATTCTCAATATCAGTACTCTCGGGTACTACACTAAGATTAAACAGCATACAAAACGTTGGGGGAAGAGAAAAGGACACTAATGAAAGAACGCTGGTCTCTTCCTCCAATGTTTTCTGTGCTGTTTAATCTTAGTGATGTACCAACTAGCTCAAATTACCACTAGACTCTCGGGTAGAAAATAAAGGTTTCTCAAATATTTGCCGCTGTGCGACCCAATTCTACGCTTGCACTGCCAAGTCTATGCTTGCACTGCCCTTTTTTTGTTGTCGTTCCAAGTGCTTGCCCTAGTTTCCTCCACGCTCCCGGGGTGGCAGTCCCGTGTCTACTTTCCGCCAGGTGGCGGTCCCGTCGCGCGTGTCTCGGGCGTGTCTAGTTTCCTCCGGCTCCTCGGGGCGGGTCTGTCATGAACAGCTTCGCGGGTCATCCAACTTGACAGAGTGGAATGGCATATGATTTTGCGCTGTTTTATATATGTATACCTTATGTAAAAAAAATATTTCATAAAATGTGGATCAAATCAAAAGTAAAAAAATATTTCATAAGATGTGGATCAAATCAAAAGTTTTTGCTTAGATAGTCCGCACCATGCCTAATCTGAACGTAAAATTTATACACGGCGCACCTTGACAAATGTCTGCTTGCTCCGCGCCTATCTGCAGCTTGGATGATGGATCTAGTACATAAATTACAAACGACCATAAACTGTGCTGCGATTGACGGTGGTAGCTGCTGCGTTGTGGAAAGGCATCTACCGCTGTAAAAATACATAAATAAATAAATATGAAATTGAAGGTTTAGAAGGCGCGAACAGAACAGACAAAGACACGGAGACGCGTTTTAAACCTTTTAATCAATACAGAACAACTAGCCCAAACCCAAGTTTTAATTAATCTCTGTTACTCTTTGTCTCTCTCTCTTTCCCTGAAGTTTTAATTTTCAACTTTTCGGGCACGATCGGGGGCTTTTCTGATCAGTTTCGTTATCACAACGCAGCATTATTATTTTTTTTTTTATTATAAAATTTTACAATCTAGGATTCATGTATTACTTCGTAGTAATTAGTGTGGTAACTGACACTGGAATAGTCCTGTACTCATTATATATCCCTTGCCTGCATCCCTACTATACACTTATTGGGCCTGCATCGCTTACAATTTCTTCACCGCACCTAACACATCGTCGTTAAGAGAAGCCTCGAATAGGGCCGGCTCGTTGGTCTAGGGGTATGATTCTCGCTTCGGGTGCGAGAGGTCCCGGGTTCAAATCCCGGACGAGCCCAATTTTTTTTTTTTTTTCTTTTTCTTTTTTTTTATTAAAATTTAACTTGAATAAATTTGTTATTTCACGCAATTTCCAGAGAAGCTGCATTATAGATTCATTATAAATCTGCTGCCAACATTGCTCTCAATAAAGCGCGCAGTCTCGCGGGAATCGTGCTGAATATCATACAACTGACTGAATATCGTGCAACTGAATATCTTTATATTTTCAACTTTATGTTGAACATATTGGTATATTAAAAACATTGCTAATAATATCTATATAACAAAAAAAAAATCATGAGCCATTCCACTCTGTGAAGCTGTTTAGCACATGACACCGATGTGACAGAATTCTGAGCAAAGGTACGAACTATCGCCGCCCCGAAGAGCCGAAGGAAACTAGACGGTCGATGGGACCACCACCCGGGGGAAAGTAGACACGCGCGACGGGACCGCCGCCCCGGGAGAGCGGAAGGAAACTATAGTCCGTTGCAACCTAAGAACGAAGGGCGAGGGTGGGTAAGACGGGCCTGGGGGCCTGGGAGGAGGAAGCAGACGGAACGCTAAAGAGAGAAGGAGGTTTCCCCTCTCTTCTCCAGCATTCCGTCTGCTTCCTCCTCCCCGGCCCGTCTTACCCTCGCCCTTCGTTCTTAGGTAGCAACGGACTATAGGCAGGCAAGAGCTTGAAACGACGACTAAGAGAGGGCAGTGCGAGTTTTTGTTGACGCACATGAAAAATCCACAGAACCCTAGCCATATCCAGCTTCGCTGCATTAAAAAAAAAAAAAAAGAAATTGAAGAAGGGTTATGTTTTGGCCATTTGTTTTGGCTTGACAAGGCGTGGGAGCTGGAAGGGGGCTGGGAGTTTTCGTGGAACAATGTTTTTAAGGAGCTCCCGGATTTGCTACACCATGTTTCAAGATGTCTCGTAGATCATGTATAACCGAGCTAATAAATACGTGCAAAACTTCAAAATTAAAAAATACCATGTAGCAAAATACAGTCTTTAAAGCACTTGCAAGACATCATACCTATATGGGAGGCACTCACTTGATCAAATGACGTTTTAGCGAACGCCCACGTTTCACCGAATGACACTTTATGACAATATGGACCCCATCTTTTCAGTGCAAAAAAACAAATGCAGACTGGGGTCCATATCACATGAGCGAATGACGTTTTAGCGAACAGCGACATTTGAGCGAATCGACGTTTTAGCGAATAACGGGGGCGCGCGTTAACCCATCCGCCGCGCTGCGTTTACGCCGCTTCACGGCGACAGTCTGCGGCGGCTCATTACAAAATTGTGAACCCATTTGGTCCACCCGAAAACGCCGCTCGTGGTGTCCGACTATTTGCTAAAGTGTCAATCGGTGAAACGTGGGCGTTCGCTAAAACGTCATTCGATCAAGTGAGTGCCTCCCGAAAAGATGCCGCATGTATGCCAAGCTAAACACTCAGGTTGGTGATTACAGCACCACCAATAAAATTTTAAATAGAAACTTTTCCTTAAAAAGCTTAGCTGATATGCATATGCCATCTACCATCACGTGTTTCGGTGGAAACGAGCCAATACTTGTCCCACTCACCAAGGTCAGTCATAGGCCTGTGTTCTATTATCTATCACCGCGAAATTCAGGTAACACTGGCCGCAGTTCCAGGTTCAACATTTTTGGCATGGCTCGTCACTGAAAGAGTGCTCCGATGACCTCCAGAGAAGAGGGGAAGAAGGAGCTCCTCTTATCAGGATCCTCCTTTGTGCCTCCCGGATATGCCCAGACGTCGCTATTCCCCTCCCAGAAGATTCTAGAGTCTAGACGATGAACCTGTCACTCAAATTCTTACAAAAGCAGCTTCCCTCTCCTCCTTTTACATGGTGGTCAAAAGTATGCAAAATCACAAACGGGAACACAAAAAAAAAAAAAAAAATAAAGAGAACATTTTGTTTTCTGAAGTGAATAAATTAACAACAGCAGGGTTAACATTATATATCCCACTTTTTTTTCTACACCAATAAGCAAAGAATAGAAGCACACATTCAACAAAGTACAAAAAAATGTTCAAGCCAGGCCAAGGCATGGGTGCAAACCATTTATTGTAAAACAGGCTCATAAAACATAACAAAGAAGTGATTATGCCGCAGTGCCCCATAAATCCCGCACCTTCTACCAAAGAGGCTTTCCAGTGCCCCCGGCGAGAGACTAAAGGAACGCGTTGATAAGTGCGTACAGACACGTTCAGGCGCGCAAACTAGGTGAAGACATTCGTGCGGCTACAGTGATGCCAGCCGATCTGCTTCCGTTTTCGGTGCCAGGGGTCCGAGCACCAGCTTGGGGTGCGCATCCCTCTAATGAACCAGGCCCAGCATGCGGACTCCGAGTCGGGCCGAGAGACCCAGCAGCGTCAGCAGGCCAATGTACTGGAATCCTCCACGCATGCGCTTGGCTGGGTCTGCAATGGAAGCGTAAAAGAATGCATGTAAACGCTGAAAAAATAAAATGGAAGAAAAGATGTCTGCATTTACACACTGCATTGCACTGGCTGAATTGCTCACCTATTCTGTAGATGAGCAACACAACCAATGCAGTACCACTGCTAGCCTGGGGTCATTAAGGGAGCTGTGCAACGATTTGAACGTTGAAAGAATTTGCATCTTCTACTTTGACATTGTTTATCTCGTCACAAAGGACAGAAAACACATCCCCTTCCTTCAAAATGTTGCGATTCCGCCGCGTAATCACAAGGCAAAAATTCGAATATTCCCCGACCTGCAACCGCGAGCGGCGACCATAAGAACGACGTGGCGTGACGTCAAAGGGGGACTTGTAAAAAGATAGCAAGTTGTGCAAATACCTGCTCAATAAAAGGTAATTTTTCTATAAATCTTGTCGTTCTAACATAAATATAAATGCGTCAAAAACGTGGTATCATCAACAAAACTTCTATTATACAGAGTTTTAGTGGCGCCATCTATCCTAGGTCCACAAAACCGTCAGCTCTATCTGCTACCGTGAACAGCCGCCAGAAGCCGGAGTGGAAAGGGGCAGAGCCGGACGATGGATAGCCGGACCCGGACGAGCACGTTGGCACTTTCCTCCTTTTGCCATGTAAACCGCGCTGCGCAAGCATGTGGTCACGTGGTCGCCAGCAGGTGAGTTCTCGCTGCCCACTGATGGCTCTAGAGAGAGATCTTCACCGGAGCCCTGCGCAAACCCCATTGACGTCACAGTGCACGTGACTCGGAAGATGGTGAAGGAGTTGAAAGGTGCCGAAAACCTCAATCTTTGTCATTTTTTAAAATAAAAACTAGGGCGTGCACGCAAAAGCGGTTTTTTGTTCTTTACTTCAGAAAGGTTGAGACACCAACTCCCAAATTATTTAAGCAAAGCAGTGAAATTGCTGCACAGCTCCTTTAACGTGCACCACCCAGTAGTGATACCAGACTGCACGCCGTTACAAATGCTTATCCAGATCCAAACAGGCAGGGATGGGGATCGAACCCAGGATCCCTCGGTCCTGCAGCGTGGTCTTTTGCTCCACATTCTTGAAGCTGCGGTGCGCTAACGCACTTGCCCACTAATCCCCCTGTGAACATAGATGGAATGCGATGGTGATGCAGGAACACTCTAGAAGCCGGGAGATGTCGTGACTAAAATGAGTCAGGGCTGGGCAGAGATACTCCAAAACATACTTGGGAATACAAATACTGAGATACATTTCTCCGTTAAGCAACAGGATATACCTGGGATACTTCTGCAAAGATGGTGAAAGAGTATTTCGGAATACAGATACAGATAGAAATACATTTTTTACCAAACGGTGCTATGGGGGGGTGTGTAGTTTGTGGCAAATGCGAATGATAATCTATGCTTGTGCTCCTCTTTTTGTGCTATTTTATGCACTACCCCTTACCTCAAATGCTTTATTTATCATTAATTACAGAACGGTAAAGACTGCATACCATGCTTGACAAAAGGCATCTGTTTGAAATGAACCCCGTTTTGCCGTGAGGGTGCCTCTCTACCTGTCGTCTTATGTGCTTCCGAGTCACCCATGGTGTGGGCACATTGGATAACAGGGCCATACTTTTTCTCCACTCAACTCCTTTACAGCGTTCACTCTGCTAAACTGGAAAGAGTTGAGGGCATTGTGAGAGGAGGTGATTTCGTTATTCTTGCAAGTAACCTTCTTTACACCACATTTTTTTTTTTTTAATGTTGGTGACAGATGGATTATGTTATTGGACAAGTTCATATTATAAATTGCGAAGCAACTTACATGAAACGGATGTTTTTATCCTTTAAATTTACCTTAAAAAGGACAACAAATGTAACGAGATACCTAAGTCTGGCAAAGTATCCCGATACAAGCGATACATCTTAAATGTATTTCACTACTGAGATACAAATAGATTTTTCACATGTATCTCGATACAGAGACACAGATACTCAAAAGTATCTGTGCCTCTCGAGTATCTTTAAGATTGCGAAGTGTATCCAAGATACTATCACGATACATTTGAATTGCGATACTGCCTAGCCCTGAAATGAGTACGCTGACTTTAACTTACAAACAAAACAAATTCACTTAACATTGTTTCGCCTTCCATGTGGGGGGCATCATCACTGGGTACAGAGCAAACATAAGGGTCCACCTCAACACAGTTCTATTTGTCTTGAACATCCGTAAAAGCTTCGGGGTGAGGGTATGGCTTGGATGAGCTAGCGCTAAGTATCATAACTTCTCGAAAGCTGGGGACTATGCCACTGATGGATGCAATAAGGGAAAGAAATGAAGATGTCAGCACAAAAATAAAACACACAAAAAGAATCCAGATATTTTGTCTTTTTTTTCCTCCATGATTTTAGGCTTGGAAAGGTCTAGGCCGACGTGGAGGCGGGGGAAGTGCACATTTACAAAAGCACAGAAGCGGCGGCGGCCCTAAACGGAGGGCAAAGGGTGTGGTAGTCCTCCATATAGCGTACAAGGGCTACGGTCAATAAACACATGTTCTGTTCTGCAGTGGCTGCCTAACAATGTACAATGGGCCGCACAAGCATTAGTAAAGTAGCAGAAATATATGTTTGCAATGCGGACAAAAAAAAAAAAAAAAATGGTCGGCAAAGTTGGATTGAAATTTTGAGATCCTCGATGGACTACAGAGACCGAATTCAGCCAGCTACTCACTTCACCCTCGTCCTTCCCAGACTTTTGGTGGAAGGTCTGTACAGTGTTTGGTTTTCAAGAGTAGACTTGTCCCTGACAGAGCTGATGGCACCACAAAATCACCATATAGATGAAACGCTCTTTGCCATGTGAAGGCCCCCATGAATGCCGTGGCCCTTAACTGGCCCTATTGCCACATGGTGCTGACTTTGTCTAAAGAGATAAAGAGCGTCCTTTCGGACAGTACCTACCCCCAGTGGAGTATCCAAGCGCATAGACGATCCGCCCTGCCAGGAACACCACACCAGAAGCGGCCGCCAGCCTCTGAACACGCAGGAGAAACAATGCAAATGAATATAATCTGGGAGAATAGAAACTGCCCGACGATCCTCTCTATTCTCGGGGGAAGTTCTTGGCAATAAAGTGAATGTTGTGCTGGGCACTCAAACTTCGGGAAGATGCGAACATCTGCGTCATCATTAACTAGGTTCCTTTTATTCGTTGTGATATGTACTGGACTTTCTGCACGCATCAAATGATTTACATACAATAAAGCAAATACACTAGAAGTGTTAATTATCAACATAATCTCATCACATTATATGAAATTGTAAAAGGAACTGTGGCATCCCAATTGGTTGGTCTGCCTGAAGGAAAACACAAATCTGCGAGACAAAAATGGAAAAGCTATCTATGAAATTTACAAAACCAGGAACATAAAGGATCAATTAAAATGTGGAAAGTTTGCTAACTGTAAACAACTTAAATGGGAATTTCGGTAAAATTTGCGACTTGAAAAATAAAAAAATAAAAAAATGTTCCACCCTGGTCAAGAAGGAAGACCGGAGCTGTACTATTGTGGGAATGAAGTAATGGCTGGCCGGAAGTTGGCAAGTCAGAGTGGAAAGGCTGGAAAGGTTGCCGCCATCTATGAGCAACGGCGGCAAGCAGACAACTGGCAAACGCAACACACTGGACAGCTAACGCAATCTATGAGCGATGGTGGCAACCAGAGTGTTCTGTCGACATTTGGTACCAGACACAAACCTGGAGAACCCAGCCCTTAACAGCTCTGCTGTAAAAAAAAAAAAAAATTTATTACACAAATATATTGCCTCATGGTAGTGCATACGTAACACATCACTCCAAGCCGCAAAATTCAAAATATTCCTGAAATCCATAACTCGCAACATATTAACCCTGCGAAAACAAAGGTCATTTACAGTATTTATTTGTCAATAAAACAATCCAATGAACGGTGGCTGCTGCCATTAATGAATAACCGCAATATAGACTCCGACACAAATTTCTGACATCTGGTGGCAGCAGTGGCATTACTTTACTCCCTCTCATCCTACGATGAACTAAAGCCCAACGCTACAAGCCGCCGGGTCCAATCACGAGCCAGTTAGAAACCTTGTGGTATATTTGCTCCGTTGTATGCATCAGTGCGCAAAGACACATCATGCGAAGGCGAGTTTTTCGCCTGCTTATTGAGCCCTCGCTGTGGCTCCTTCTGCTTGCTACTACTGAAGGGATTAAATACTGTCTGGAAGCGATGTGGCAAAGAGAACCCGGGATCAGAACCAGTGGCAATTAAGAAATGAAGATGAGTCGGATCAAGTGTTTGACACAGGAGCACATACGTACAGACCACGTGCGGAAGGGAATTACGGGTCTGGGTGCGTTTTACGCATACAAAGGTTGGATTGTTATGGCTAAGGCGAAACGACTTTATTTCAATGTTGCCCGCGCCCTCCATCTTCTCCAAACAATTGACATGTTTACGAAATATGACATGAATGTTTATGAAACTAAATACCATGTACCTTTACTTCACCAATATGAAATAGCGCGCTATCACACCAGAGAACTATATGCGTAAGCTTAGTGCTCGTCGTATTCTGCGGATCGGAATTTTTCTCGTGCAGTCTTTCGCAATGCAGATGCAAGCTTTTCTGGAATAGTGCTCCGCGCGCCAGCCTACGGGCCCTAGTCCATTGTGGGGTGAAACGGAGTATAGGGCTAGCGGCACCCAGTGTGGTGGCCTGCCATGACACCCACCTCCCCTCTCGTTTCAAGCAACAAAACTTGAATCAAAAGGGGGGAGGGGGGTCGCAATCCCCCCCCTCCCCCCTCCTTTTTTACTGCCCAGCTTCTGAATGCTGGACCCGAAGCAGTCTAAGACAAGAGCAGTTTTCTTTTTTGTTTTTATGTTATTTGCACGTGCCTCAAAATTACAAAAGCAAAGACTTCGTCGAGCTTCCCTCCTCTAGAAAAGCGGGACTAAAAACCCCCCCCCCCCTCCCTTACCCTCATCCACCCCCTTTTTTCTAAGACAGTCCGAAAAATGTGTTTTTCGTGCAAGCTGGCTGTAGTTTGGATGGTGTCGTACGCAGCTGGTCGTTCTTTTTTTTACATAGAACACAAATACTGCATGGATAATCCAAATAAAATAAACACCACCAATCCACCCCTACATTTTTAAAAAATATTTTTGAGTAGACTGTTTTCTTGCAGCGGGGACCAAGTTAGAACCGAATAGGCACAGTTCGAAATAGAGCAACCGTCTTGGCAGCTACGCAATCATGCTAAAGGCACAAACGACAGTCCACTCTGCAACTGGTGAAGCGGAGAAAATGCTCACTTCGGTTTTCGGTAACTACGATCGAACGTCCACAAAACGCCGTTCGATCAAGATGTGCCCGCGGAGCAGAGAGAGTGTCAAAGAACTGATCTGACTCAAGAGTCATCGCATTGAATCCAAAGACAACGCCGGGCTTCGAGCACATTAATTCCAAATATCTAGTCAAATAGCGTATTTGAAAATCTATCTCAAGTCAGGCAAAGTGAACGGAATGCTTATTCTACACGGTTTACAGCATTTATTCATTTCCGACGGCATTATACTTTCCACGGCCTTGACAGGAAACTGCTGAGTTTCACAACTGCTAAGCTTCCGGGGTAACTACAGTCCGGTACGAAACAGTGCCTTCAGCTTCAACGTTTGGTCTTCTGCAACATCCGATAACAATGTTAAGAATAAAAGACCAAAACCGCCCGAAACAACACCTTCAAAATCATGCGCGTACAGCCCCACGAGCAAGCAAGCTGCTGAAAGGGCCTTCCCAGTGTTGCAAATATTTTGAGCTAGATGGCGCAACGTGTCGGACCAAATTTGATTGCCTTGAGGGTATGGCATAGAGGCACTAGACACACACTCTCCGACTTTTGCAGGAGTACTATGCGAGTGTTTTGTTGTTTTTTTACTTAAATTTTATGACAAATTTTGGGGAATTTGGCATGTCATTCCATTTCTCGGAAACAAATAATTTGGATATGAAAGGTGAGCTGTATGTTCGGAAAATGTGATAAATTTCTGGAGTATTAATCTACTCTGGGATATTTATAGGATTTCCTTTAGGGGGTAATAGTGCAAACAAATTACATCATTAAATGCAGACATGCAGACAATATCAGTTTGGTGAATGTCATTTCATAAAGCAAAATTTTAGCAAAAGATGGTAATTTCATTGAATACATTTAAACAAACAACACTTTTGTGTATGTTGCAGACAATGTTTGATTCTATGGCATGCAATTTGCTCTGGTAAAAACCTCCCATTAGTTACACTATGGTTTAACGGATGGAAGAGAAAATCCCTCTACGGCTACTGGACAGAACAGAAAGTGCCAGCTCTGTGGAACCAGCACCATTAGTTTAATTTTAATAATTCCCCTTCTAATGAAGGAAACCAAGCATCCTTAATTATTATCAGAAAAAAAAATATAATGTATTATGATGAGGGATTTTGTTTTCATTAGTGAACACATTATATTTTGTGGATTTAAAAATGTTGCAAATAGCAATTAATAAAAACAAATATATCACACAGATGTATTGGCCTCAATAAATAATAAACAAGATTATAAAGCTGCTTACCCCTGACCAAAAAAATTTTGTTTCCACAAAATAAAGCAAAAAGCTGTATAGTTTCTGCCAGATAAAGCAAACTGATGAAATAATGGGCCTGGAAGTACACAGTTGTTTACAGCCTGCAGTAGCTATCGAGTGAGATGTCAAAATTAGATGAGCAATATGAGAAATACAGTCATCTGTGTGCTATTATTGCTGTCACATAAAAAAAAACAGATTATAGCAGGCTACTTGTACTGGATTTACCACTCAATGCAACATTAACCTTTATTACACCGTTTGTATGCCAAGAGTACAATCGGCCCCTTACAGTATACAGAAAAGAATGACGCCAGCTTTGCTCCTAAGCTTGCTTTCAAGAAAATGAATGCAAAAAATAGTGACCTTGAGTGCCTCAACCAGATATTTTTGAAAAAGCCTCAACTTCCACTTTTGAAAAGATGAAGTAACAAAAAATGAAAATTAAAGCATTCTCACGGGATACTCTATGCCACCGAGAAACAGGACCATCAGGAACTGTGGGTAGTACTCCAAGCTGGAAAAGAATTAAGGGCAAAACAGATTACTTACAGTTTCCCCCTCAGCTGATGAACACAAGATCTGATAGAGTACACATTACTTGAAGCGTGCGGCAGAAAATGCATACTCACAAGTTTTGGTGAGACCTTTGGATGCAGTTGAAGACGATGTTGGTGTCAGAATACATCGCAGGGTACTGCAACACAAGAGGGCATCAACTGTTAAAACAGTTACTCACATGCAGCTCAAATAACCTCCCAAACCTGCACAATTATTGCATAAAGACAGTGAGTGTGCAGGCAAGCTGATGAGAGTTAGTCAAACTGAGTAAAACCCAAGACAGAGGTGAGGTAAAAAAAAAAAAAAGTTTAAACCTAAAAGAAGAAAAAAGCGTAACTCTAATGTAATGTTTTTCTTTCTTCTCTCACTCCTTATACACACACAATGCTGTTGCCACGAAACTTTTTCAGGGAAACCCCCTATGTTAACAAAGCAACAAATTAATTCTTCAAAGCGATGACCTTGAGACCGGTAGAACATACACTGCAGAAACCTCTTCTCACAAAATGAGCGGCATTTCCAACCAGTTTTCTTTTTTTCCTTAGACTTGGAAGTCTATTATTTCCTTACAGTCCCGGGCTTTACACAACATGATAATTATTGCATCACCCCCACTTTTTGTCTAAGAAGTTAAATTGCGCTGACTTCTGAGCAACTTGTGTGCATGATGCAAACATTACACAAACTTGCAACTTGAGGCACAAGTTGTCTGAAAACCGTTTTAATCTACAATAGAAGAGATTGACAGACATCTAAAAGTGACTGAATGAAGCCATGCATATATATACTGCACTGATATTGAACACAAGTTCCAGTCAAACGCAAGTAAAAAAAAAAACACGAGTAATTTGTGTTTGCTGTTTCTGCAGCCAGAGTGAACCGATGGAGGCATGAATGTCCAGTCTTCTACCCAATAGAGACCTTTCAAAAGTCGCATGTCTAATGTTACAAGGTCTAACACTATGGACATGCAAGTCTATAGAACTACTTAGATGGCAATGACAACCCCAAACGCTGCAAAGGAAAGCAGGTCAGCAGGTCAGTAGCTTGTACATGCTCCCGCTGCACAAGGGCTTGCACAATCGAATGCGAGAGGCTCGTGCTTGTGTCCGCCATTGTGCAGGGTTCACAACCTCCAACAAAAGACACTTTTTTTCCGAACTGGGTCAAAGGTTCAAAGGAGCTTATTGGATTTACTTCCATACAGCCGAGAGCCTGAGGCAGCCAAAAAGCAGAAGCCCGTAGATCCAAGTGCTGGCTGCCTCCTCAGCTGTATGTTAACAACTAGAAAATACATGTGAATGAAACTTACATGTACAAGTGTATGTTAACAAGTAGAGAATGCATGAGAATCTATGTGTATGAGGTCTATCTGTAACTCTCATAATCAGCTGCCCCTCCCCATGCCCCCCCCCCCCCCCCCCCACACACACACAGAACCTACATACACAAAAGGTGCCGACTCACGGCATGGTGCGCACCAGCTGGCAGCACAGACCACAATTCCAAATAAAATCGGCTCATACGAAACACTACGGAGACGCGTATGTAGCCACTCATCAATTACCTTGACGTCGTAGAGTCTGCGGGCCTTGCCCACCCTGATGGAGAGCCACATGTTGACCAGCGTGGACCCGACTCCGACCAAGACCACGTAGCCGTACTCCTTGGGCACCACCAGACTCAGCGTGCTCATGATGCTGCTGCGGCGACGGACAACCACCGAATGACTCGACGCGAATCACGCACCGCCGCTCGTCGAAGGACGCCGGAAACAACCGCGCACTGACGAAGGACACGTGCCTCGGCAAGCAGGGACATTATTTACGCGGATCTTGTAATCGTCCAAACGGCCTTGAGGAACGAGGAACGCCGAACGCCCCGCCCCCCCCCCCCCCCCCCCTTTTTTTTTTTTTTTTTCTTTTTTTTTTCCCATTCTTCAACCGAACCAGCGAACATTCGCTGAAATAAGGTAAACCCGACCGGACAGGTTCCACTGATGTTTTAACGGGCCCGCCCGACGAAACGGAATCGGTTCTTGCAGGAGGCGTCATCGGAGCGGACAGAATCATCTCTTATCAGTCGTCCGCTCAAGTAGCAGAGCCCTGCATGCTGCCGCATAATCTCAAATCAACATCGCGCGTATGAAACTGCGGATCGGAGGATGCGGGATCCGTGAACGTTCTCGCGGCAATTCATAGCGCGATCAAGAAGAGCGTTGTTGAGAAATCAACACGGACGCAACGGAAACTTCGGCGGCCTTGAAGGAACGCTAGTTATCAACCGTTCCAACTTAGGTGTTTGATCGCACTTTGGAACCCCGGCTGCTTTCCAGCGTTACGTAAACCGAGGATTTGCATTGAAGGCAGCATGAATCTTACCTTCCTCCGATTTTTCGGAGCTTCGCTCACACACAACAAAAGAAACGAAACGAAACCGCGTCGACCGTCCGGCGCGTCGTCAACCTCGTCAACCCAAGTTGCCGAAGTTCGTTTGTTTCAACCGGCTTCGGCTACACCACTGTACGAGTACGACTGTACTTCGGCTCCGCCCACGATGGCTACAAACGGATAGAGCAACGTAAAAAGTCTCAAAACAGATGTTTTTAGTTTCGGTTTGCAAAGTTTTCAATGCGTTTTTTTTTAATTGCATTTGCTGTTCTATATTAAAAAGTTTCCTCCATAATATTATTTAAGTTAACATTTTTGATATTAAAAACATACTAATTGTTATTATTACAACTGACAAAACTTTTACTTTGAAGGGGGAAAAAAACCTGGGCGTAGAAAAATGGCGCATTACAATGGCACATTAAATAAAGGATCTAGTTAATCCAGCCTTATCTTTTCCCAGATGGCAATAGTGTATTTTTAAATCATAAATTAAAAGCACATAGTCAGACATGCACGGTATGTACCTAATTTAAAAATATATAACAAAATTATTCAACCCTATATTTAACAATGTCGAAATCAAATGATTATTTACGAACACCTAGTTTCAAGCGGTCCCACTTGGCCCGACATCTAGCGTCCGCTCTGTGAACCGGAGCCACCGTAGATAAGCATCCCCCAGTGGGTCTGCGGACTGCGGTCCTTGCGGCTTTCGAGTTTCCTAATCTCCTTTGATTTGTGCTACGTTTCCTGGAGGAATGTGACCCTCGCACCCCACGATGGAGTTGTCGCGCTGTAGGATCAGGCGAACTGGATGCAATGCGCTCAAAAGCTGTTAGTACCCGCTCGTCTTTTTGGCACGCTCACCTCTCTTTCGCGTGCGCATTGCGTATGTCTTTCTATAATCGGTTTTCATTTTGGGGAGAAAAAAAAAAGTGGAGGGGTTCAGATCCCTCGTTCTGTGAGGGTCTGCCCGAAACGCGCTCAGTAGTCACGCATGGCCCGTATTTCCCGGCCTACTTTTTGGGGCGTCTTGCGGTCTCCGTAAGCGGCTGGAGTGACCGTCCGAGGGTTGGGCTTGTGTCGTGGGCCTTTCGGCCGGAGGAGGGCAAGGAGTAAAACGGAGGAAAAAAAAAAAAAAAAAAAAGGGGGGTGGGGGAGGAGGAAGATCGGAAAGCTCATCTGGAGCAAGCGGGGACTCCATTGACGCCAAACTCGGGAGCTCGAGCCGTGGTCCGTTCGCGCGCGAGCACCCCACCTCGGCGCTAAACCACCGGCGGGCCTCATTGGGGCAACCATGCACCGCCGCGGTTTCCCCCGGAAAGTCGGCTTCGCCTCGCAACACCGATCTCGCCGCTCCGTTCGCCCGACCGAGATTACGAAAAAAGTAAAAAAAAAAAACACAAACAAATGAATTGCATGCGGGACCGTTCTTCTCGTAATAATGACGGTTCCTCAAAGGACTACAGATTTATGATCGTTGAGGAGTGAGAAAGCAAAGCCTTGAAGTTAAATATCTTTTTGGTTGAAAAGAAAGCGCGCGCGCTCTATGGTGCTATGCAGGTTTTTATTGCACGGTTGGTCTCATCTGGGCGGACGGCGACTGCGTTTTCATCACGCCGCTGCAACCACCCAAAAACTCGTCTACTAGTCATCATCAAGTTCATTTTTGTCGCCATCAGGTGTTGGGTTTGTTCAGGTGAGCCGGTTTTTTGGCTTCTTCCCGTAGCGTTGACAGGATACGCGCGAGTACGCGGATGCTGAGGAGGGTGGCGTCGGTGCATGCTCTAGCAACTAGAATTTGTTTTTGGGTTTTCCTGTGCGTGTGTTATAGTCTCGATTAAAGGGTAATTAACACGATAAAAAGAGAAAAAAAAATCTCCGATGCAAACTGCGCAATGCAAATGCGCGTATAGGTTCGATGAAAGCACGGACATGGTCGAGTGAATATTTAATGAGGCACAGTGTAATAAAAATCTTGAATGACGCGTTTGTGCGGATTGTGGTGGGAAGTTATTTGGTTTTACTGGACAATTTAGCCCCGCAGGGGTCTTCCCTCGTGAACTGTGTGCACATGTTTAATCCTTTTCATTTAGTATGATCAACGTTTTCTATTTGCTGTGTTTATATAGTAATTGACAGGCGAACCAGGACAATCGTGGCACTTTTTAGCTAAAATACTAAAATTTGTAATTTGCTGTCAAACGTACGCATTCCCTTTGGTTTTTGTGTCGCTGAATGGTTAGGTTGCTACACATTTGCAAGAACAATTTCCGAATACGTAGATGAATGGAGAAACCCCCCAATAGTGCTTACTTTCCTGCATAGCTTGGAGATATGTGGGAAAGCATCCTACCCCTCCGACTGCAAGCTCAAAATAGTTGCGTAAACACTACAATTTCTTTATATTTCATGTTTCAGTGCACCCAGCAGGTTCTCTACACTGAACACAAGTTTGAAACACAATTTGATGTTTGCCCCCTTTCGTTTTCTTTAGCCCATAGATTAACCATGTGCTTTGTAGCTCGATACATACTTATATATAGCTCGCACGCGACGTCTGTCCACCCGTCTTTCTGGGGGCCAGAAGCGTGATATTAATGCAGCAGAAGCCACACTCACGTGCCCTTTCTCCTATTATATCTGACCAAGTGACATCAGTGCAAGCTACATATTGCAAATTCAAATGTTTTAACTTTCATATGTCGCATTTGATTTATGATTGAGCATTAGTAAGTACCAAGGTTAACAATATTGCTTAATGTTTTAGTGTGTTATTAGTTACCATTCCACTCTGGTTCTTGCTTGACATTCTTAGCGTCTTTTAGGACTGCACACCTTCGGACAAATTAAACAAATCCATGAAAGCGTCCGTAATGGACATTTACACAGGACGTTGGTGAGACACGCAGCTGCTTTTGCAGAGTGCCAGATGATTGCTAGGATGAGGTTATCAAATCTGGTTGTTGTTTGACCGTGGCATAATTACATTCTTGATAACAACACTCGTGATTTTCGTTTGGGGATGCGAGCTGTGCTCACTCCTCTTGATTTGATGGAGACAAATGTGTGCCATTTGAAACTTATTCATTGCACAACGGTCGGTGAAACCCTTTCAATCACATATCAGCTTCTATTGGTTACTTGTAGGTGGAAATTGGCTAATTTCTGGAACAAGCATCGCTTGACCTTAAAAACACGTCAAAATCTTCGGCTTGTAAGAGTCCATGCACCCACCTTCGGTCAGAATTCACGGATAAAGAGTACCACAATCCACGGTGTTAATATTACGCACCTGGAATGCTGATAGCTGCTAACCCGCAACAGCTGTCTCTGCAGGTGCCTCTACTATAGTCACTGAGAGAGTGAGAATGACAGGGCATTTATTTCCGACGGGCCTTCAGGACGCGCTCATTGCCTTCCACCGTATCTTGCTGCGCGCGCACGCTTGGCACTCTCGAGGTGCTGGAGGGAGCTTGTACTGGAAATGGGACAATTGAAGGACGTCCTCCCTGCTGCTCTCATTCTCTCGGGGACTATAGCTCCATAAGCAGTGCAAACATTGTTCCTGGCAAACATGCTACACATCATTTAGCTTACGCTTCATAGACTGTCCTTATACTTGCTGGCATAAATGACACATTGAGCTGAGAAAGTGTGGTGTCAACACCAAAATTTGCTAATTGATTGTTCAGGTTGAAGTACCTACTTGCACTTCAATGTCTCCACTCAGTGTACCAATGTCGCCACCCAACCACCACATCACGAATGATTCATGATGCAGCGGTTGAGTGGCGACATCAGGAACACTGTTTCATTTTTGTCTCTTTCACTTCATTCACCTTGAGGGCATCCGGAAGATTCTTTACTTGAGGAGAACAAATGTTCTTGGTGTATTACGTGCCGGACAGCTTTCGAGATGCAAGAGCCATTTATTCTGCTCCAATGTCACAAACTATAGACACATTTATTCCAGTGGTCGCTGCGCTGGATGCACCCTACCTCTGCAGCAAACCTCACGCAGCAGTGGCGTTAACGCCACATACATACGAAAAGGAGGTACGAGCACAGATGAAGTGAAAGCTATAATGATGTGAGGAGGCTCAGGAGTAATGTTTACAGTTTTCCTGCAATGTTTCCTTGCCAATGTATGTGATGACAGCCCGGGTCATACTCATAACCTTTTGTCAGTAATGTGAGCGCCGACGCTAAGTATCTTTTTACCAAGTTAAGATAATCAGAAGTCAAAGTTGCTTGGCACGAGGGAGGCATAAAGTCCAACATTCACGTCAAAGTCCAGACACACGCGCACAAAAATGCCACGATCCCTCGAGGGTACGCCTAGCGTGTGGTTTAGTTACGCATGATTTGAACCTTATATATCATCGTGGCAGGCAGCAGTAGAGATCCGAGACGGGTCAACGAGGATAACAAAGGGGACATCAAACAACGATGCGCATTGGCCCTTCACGATCGACTTTCGCATCGGCGCTTCATTCTCCGGGCTCGCCGGAACCTCACTGCTTTTTTTGCGATGGGCCTTAAACTACGGTCACCCCGATCATCCATCGTACAAAAGACAGATTGCTGTCTGCAGGCGGTAATCATAGTAAGAAACAGTCTGCAGACTGTCTGAGGCACGTTTTGCATGGTGACCCATTGGTCAGGTGGCAACTGTCTGCAATCATGTTCAAACATGCTTCAAACATGCTCGAGGCATGTTCGCAGATACTTCTGTTTCGTGTCTGCAGCGAATGAAAAAGTAGGAGTAGATCGACTGGGGCTCTAGCCTCTCTGAAGAGGCCGGCTGGCAACCCATGGCTGTGTCCTGAAGGTGATGCCCTGTTGCAGGACGGTGCACGGCCTGTGCTACAGCAGCCCCAAGAAGTGGCCTCCGCTGATCAGCGTGATAGCGGAGCGGGTGGACGATGGCTCCCTCGAGCTCTCCATCTGGCGCATGAACACGGCCGTCCAGTGCGTCTCCTTCTCCAAGTGGTGCCTCCTCTCCCTCCAACAGCTGCCCGTGCTCCAGGGTGAGCGTTTGCTCATTCCTTGACAGAAAAAACCCCGCAGTGCCCAAACATCGTGGCAGGCGCCGCCTGGTGTTGCTGACAAAAAGACAAAAACAAAACTGGATCGTGGGACATGAACGGGTGACAATCCGGTGAAGGCCGTTATTTAAATGCAAAATCGAGTTAAAAACAGAATCAATCATGTTAAAGAAGCAATTCCCCATTAATGCTGCGAAGGGCAGACTCGGGCAGTGCGATATTCCGCTCAGTCACGCTATACATTTTAACCAATTTTTACTGTGATTCATAATTCATTTGTTTCTGTAGATTATTTGATTAGTGTCTTTTTCCTGCTGTCTTCCTTTTTAATAATTTTAGGCCCTGAAACTCTCACAAATATGCAAATAAATTAATAAATCAAAGTTACAAGCTTTGTACAAAGGTCGAGAACATATTTACGATGCCACTGGGACCTTTTTAAACTGCAACATATTTTTCTTTTACCAAGCAGAAAGCAACACCCTAAAATTTACGAAGAAAAAAAAAAAAAAGGAAGACTAGCAATATACAGTTTTAACGAAACATTCTCCTCTTTACGAACAAACATATATTTTTTTGACCGATTCCCAGGGTATTTGAGTGTTTATGCCACTCTGCGTAGTCTACGCTGCACAACAACGTTTCTGCGAGCACGACATTGTTGCTTTCTCACATTTATTATTAAAGGTATATTTGGGGGTGCCGAACTTTACCACTTAGGTCAGTGCCCCAAAACAAGCACTGTTAACCTCACTACTATTGTTAATAACAAACTAAAAAAACAAACCCTTTTTTTTTTTTATGTGACAGTTGAGGTGCTGCACACTCTGCTGACGTCCCATGATGCCATGACGTCATACGGCATGACGTGATGTCACGTGACGACCCGATTCCCCTCAAGTTTAGCGGGAAGCGTTTTTTGCTAAATGTAGCGGGTCATGACCTTACACGAACCACACCATGGGATCCGCTGTGAAACCTCAACAATGACGGTGGTTGCCATAAAACGGTTGTTTGTTTGTGCTAACAATGTCGCACGCTGGGCATGCTGTTTCGCCGAGTTGTAGCGGGAAGCCTTTGCTCCGCCGCTTTTGATGGGGGTGAATTAGGTCCCCAGGAAATCTTGACCTTGGAGTCAATCTTCATATCCTGCGTTGACCCGGGTCACAACGCATCCCTTGCCCTACCTCCTCTTTGCCCCTACTTCCTTTGCCCTATGGTATGCATCCTCTCTGTTCATACGTGCATAGAGGGTGAAGGTGGCTGTGGTGAGACATTCGAAAGTGAGTGGTGGTCAGTGGGCGGGTTCACTGCAATACCTCCGGTGGATAAAAACAAGTTCAGTGCTGCAGGAGGCTACACATCAGTTCCTTTCATAAGATTAGCCGTTGGTGAAGGCATATATATGCAAAAGAATATGTATTTTAAGAAACAAAATGTTTATTTCTTGAAACAATTGTAAAGCATATTTGCTGCTGTGTGCATGCTCTGCAGTTAAAAATTTTGGACAGGGTCTATTCTAGGTATCTGTAAAGGCCCGTTCACACTCTTGCAACCGAGTTTGACTGAGAGAGACGAGACTTGTTAAAACCTCTTAAACTTTTTTAGGATGAGAGAACCATAGAGTTATTATAATGTACGCTAGAGGTTCAACTGGCACTAATGTCTATGCGACTTCCGTGACGCAAATTGAAGCAGACAGCAACCAATCTACTTTTGCGGTGCTCCTGTGCGTTCCTATGGGAAAACGCGCGTGCATTTTGTCTCTTCGCCGGATAATAACACGGAACGCTTTGGTTATTTGGGTCGTACCGAATAGTAGGTACCTTGATTAACATTGTAAAAGTGTAATTGCTTTAGTTTGCACATTTTTTTTGATCAGTAACCAATGTTTAACTTTGCTACATTTCAGTCCCAAACATGTGTTCCACAGCAGGTGTGTAAAAACAAGTGACGATTCAAAGCAAAATAACAATCGAAAGGAATATAGGGCGAGTTCAAGGCTCGCCAGCATTCCGGTGACGCTTATATATTGATAATATACCAGTCCTGTCACTATATGAAAATGACCCCATCGTACGTGACCAGATAAGAGCATCCAAATAAAGAATAGAGTTTGTGGGCTATGAATGGTATCTCTTTGTATTGTTTTCTCTGCCGGGCAGCTTTTATTGGGCACTTATTCTCAAAGATTTCGAGCGTGCAGGTGATGTTTTCAACGCAGAACAAACCTCTTCGCTCATCTTCATGAGCAGAAAGAACAAAGCGGTACTTACTTATTTAAAATTGGAATATATTACGTGGCCTTCAATTTATTTTGATTGTACACGTGCGGGTAGTTACTGATCCAGTGTTACTGCGTAGTTCTTGCCGTCTTCCTTAATTTCCAGATGTCCTTCATTTGTTTGGCACGTATATCCCTCATGTTGAAAAGCGCCGACGTCGTGTTCGCGCTAGGAGTGTCCGACAGTGCACATAAACGCACGTACGAAGCCATTTTAGCACTGTTTTTAATGCGATGAATTTGAAAGAAAAACGCCGTAACTGACCAATTATTTCGTCGGCCTGACTGAGAAATTTTCTAAGCTACCTAGTATGTGCGAATTATTCGGGATATTTGCTCTTATGATCAAGCGCAGGGAGAAAATGCACTCCCTTTTTCCCATAGAAATGCATTACTGGAAGTCAATTTTTACTGTTTGCTGTCTGCTTCAATTTCCGTCAGCACACTATGCCACTTCAACCTCTAGCATATATTATAATAACTCTATGGAGAGAACACACTGGCACGCTGGCGCCATCATGCGGTGACCCTGGAACTGCATTTCACAAGAGCGAAGGTTTTGCGGTATTTCTGAGGTCAAATGTGCGTAATACCTATAGCAAAGGCTCGTTTATAACGTTGACAAAAGTTTTTCGAGCCAAGAAAGAAAAGATAATGCGCAAGAGAAATAGAAATTATGCCGGACTGCCAAGTTTACATTTCTACCCAATAGGTGGCGCCAGTGTGTCCTCTTGTTGTAAGAGGTTTCAAGGAACCCAGTTTCAAGAGGTCGCAAGAGTGTGAACGGGCCTTAACTTGTATTGCATTTAAGCTGCCTACATAGGAGACACTTTCTGCTCTTTTGTGAATTTAATTCTTAGCTTAAAGGGACACTGACACCCCCCCAAATTTTTTTTTCATTTTTTGCCAGGCGCTTTATTATGATGTCGGAGGACTACCCTTTGCAAGAGAGTAGCATATTTTTTTAATAAAGCCAAAAGACGCAACTGCTCGAAATCGAAACCGAAACCCGTCGGAGGTCGGAGAAGTGGAGAGAAGAGAGCGAGTGGCGGAAGTCACGTAACTACGCCCAACCGTGCGGTTTTTTTGTTTTTTTGTTTTTCCTCTCCGGTAGCAGACGACACGACATGCGGCGTACGGGAACTGTTCGCCGTGCGATTCTTATGCAGTTATGTTTGTTCCGCTCGTTGTTCTGTACTCCAAGATGAGTTGTTTTGTACATTGAGGAGTTGGTGATGAGTAGTGAGTGCCCGTGGTGAATTTCCCTGATCGGCTCCAAAAAGAATACACCCAAGATGTTGCGTGAAGAGCTGGCTCACATGTCCTGCGTCCGAAAAAAAAAGGGCATTGTGCGACAGAGTTTCCGAAAGATCAACGGGATCGGGACCAATGGCTGGCTGCAATTCCTGTAGAACATTTACGGGCACCTCGGAAAGCGGACGCTACCTGATTTATGTGCTCCTTGCATTTTGTGGAAAGTGATTGAGTTCGCAGGTGTCAAAAAGGAAATCCCATACCATTTAATTCAGCGAAGTGTCGTCTACAACATTTGTTTATTTTTTTGTTTGTTTCTTCAGTGATAATTGTAAAAAAAAATATGTAAACATCAAAAAATGTTTGAAAAAGAAAAGAAAAAGTTACACGGGGGATCGAACCCGGTCCTTCGGCGTGCGAAGCGAGCGTCATTCCCATTGAGCCACTGGGGCAACTTCCTACTGATGGATCTCTTTCCTTAGTAATAATACAGCCGGTAAACTAAGTTGGAAAGTTTGATGCAGATTTTCCTCTAGCAAAAGCACTCCCGGGTCGAAGTCGGGAAGCACCACGCATTGGCGACATTCGCACCTAGTAAAGAAATCGTACGCGTGCATATTCAACTCGAAGTAGACACGTCGTGCTTGACGTTTGTGCGAGCGATGTCTTCAGCCACGAGAAGGGAGCGACGGCTTGGCGACGTCTTCGTGCAAATCGGCTTGGTGGTCGGGCGTGTCGTACGGGATGAATACCAATTCTTTTGATCAGTCCCAAATTTCTCTTTTAAAGGCAGACAAAATTCGCCGGTACCGCGAACGACAGTTCTGAAATAGAGGTCCCACGCCCGTCGTCCGCTGCCATCGCCGTCCCCGCGAGTCCCACGATCAAGCCCACGATACGCGAAGCGACGCACGCACAGAATGCTTCCAGTTGTCTGTGGAACTTTTTTTTTAATCAACGTATTTGCAGCTTTTTAGAAGCCACAAAAAATGGGTTTCATATTTTTTTCTATTTTTAATATTGAGTGTGTGCCTTCACTGACCCACGACTTTGATTAAATTTGGTGGTCGCATCGATACCTTAGAAAACGGCCCGTGTCCGCGGAAAAGAGAGTGAGCTAGACCCGGACCGGCCAGTTCTTGATCGGCGGTTTTCGGGCGGAAAGAAACCGAATTTCGAGCCGCAAATTCTGTTCTGGGTAGTTGAGCTCTCATATGTCACGTACAACTAAAAACCTCGGCGAGCATAAATACCCTGTCAGTGTCCCTCTAAGAACAGCTTTAAAAGTTACTTTTCAAAGGTAATTGAGCTGCAGTTACCCGAGTTGGAATGAAATTAAGTTACTGCTAGTTGCAGTCAGTGGCATTACAAGGGTGGGGGGGGGAGGGTGGGGGAAGGGGTGGTTACTGCCCTGGGTGCAGCGCTCACGGGGATGCAGCTGGGT